TGGCAGATGTTCGAAGAGGATGGAAGGGAAGAGGTCCTAACATTGCTTCAGGACTTAGAAAACCTCGGGAGGGTCATTTCATTTAGATAAGGCCCTGAGGGATGTCTAGGAGTTCACAAGGACTTTCCAGAGGATGTAGCATTTTGACTGACTCTTGAATGATAAAGTTCACCAAGAGAGGAAATGTCTTTTCTGGGAACTGGGGTCTCCTTAGGGACTCCTATAGGCCACTAGGCTGGAGATCAAGGCATTATCATGGGCCCAGGTCTCCTCTATAGTGTGGGTTAAGGGGAGTGCATGCCTCAACTGCTGTCCTGGCAAGGTGACTATCACCCCAGTTGGCGTGTGCGCTCCATGAGACCTTGGCATCTGGCTGTTGAGTCTGACACTGTGCCTTGCTGGTCCCCCTTGGAGAGCCCCTTGTGTGCACCCCACGGTGCCTCTCTCCCTGACTGGCAGCCATTCCCTTGGCCGACCCCGCAGTTCCTGCAGATGTTTGGGCCTACAGGTCCCCAGTGGCTGAGACCAGGTGGCTGAAGTGGAGGCAGCTGGAAGGTGAGGGCCTCATGAGACACAGCTGCTCACCTGGGTTCCAGTCTTCACCTGCTCTCAAGGGTAGGTGACGCTACCCACCCTGCCCCACCGCTGCGGCCTTTTAGAGAGCAGCAGCATGGGAACACTTCTTCCAGTCCCTCAGGGAACATTATAGGGTGTTAACAGGCTTCAAACCAGGTGAGCAGCTGAGGCTTGGTGACGTCTCTGGCCCGTTGACATGGGGGCCTTAGAGATTCATCTTCATTAAGAACAAGGTTTCCCACACGCCAGTGTCCCCACCTGCAAATGGACATAATGTCATCTTTTTTGTGGGTTCTTAATAAGTGCTTAGCACCAATGTTTAACCTGCAGTTTGAGCAGAGCCTGCCCGCCTACCAGCTGCCCGCCTACCAACCCGGCCTAGACTACTGACACTTATTGGTGGTGGCCTGCGAATGTGGGTGGGGACCCCTGGGGCGGCCCTGTCCTATAGCTGCCACTGGACAGAGGCCTCAGTGTAAGCAGGCCGGGGCCTTTTACAAGCCAAGAGCCATGACGGGGTGTCTGAGAATGCTGTCCATTATCCAGTTCACAGAGCACAAAGAGGCCACGTGGGGGCTCATATAGGCCAGGCGCCTGCCATGAACCCATAAGGGCTCGGGGTCTCCCCACTGCCTGGCAAGTCCCCTGACCACAGAGGTCAAGGACATGCTTAGAGTCAGCAGTGGCCTCTGACACACAGGAATGAAAACCATTTCCTCTAGCTGCATAGGGCAACAAAGAAACAGCAGGTCTGGGGCAGGATCTCCAAGGGATGGGGTCCCCAGGTAGCAGGGGAGGGACCCTCTGGAGTCTAGGAGCAGGGGCCTGAAACATGACAAGCCCCTGGAGGGCACTAGCAGCAACTGTGGAGCATGCCTCCTGACAGGGACCCCACTCTGTACGCAAAGGCCAAGAGATCTACTGTGGATGGAGTACAGAGGCTGAGGAAGTTGTGCCGTGTGACATCAGCTGGCTGGCACCCACGAATGATAACTGACATCCAGGCCCTTGCTGGCATCTGACAAATATGTGTGCTGCACCCTAGAGGCTCTCCTGAGGGACCCAGAGGAGCGAGGAGAGGAACCCCAGTTCCAGAGGTGGAAAGTGGGCCAACACCCAGCTCCCAGCAGACCAGCTGCTCCAACACATGGTTGCTTCTTTCAGCACAGCAGTCCTGGGCTTGGATTCCAAGGCTCGAAACTGAAGCTCACGTCCCTGTGGTCACCAGGAGGTTAAGGACAAAGCTGAGGCTGGGACTTAGGGTGTCAGCTCCAAGGTGAGGAAGGGCAGAGACACACAGTGGCTGAGAGCTTGAGCTGGGACCCTGAGCAGGCTGTGCAGCTCCCCGCAGGTGGCCCTGCCTCTCTGAAGCTCACTGTGAGGAGGGACCGTGAGGTGCCACTCCTGACCGTGTCTTCCGTCTATTCCCCTTCCAGCACCTTTCTGCCCTCCGCTGTGGTTATGTCAGAAGCACTTCCTGCGGGGAACCTTCTCCAGTCCCCGGGCAGAGCCCCCCTTCCAGCACAGCCAAGCCCCCCACCCCCCACCCCGTGTTATTGTTTCCAATTGAAGAAGAAAAAACATTTCCTCCTCTCCCTCTTCCTTCCCCTTCCCCCTCCCAGCTCTGCCCTGCGTCACAGAGGAGACTTGCAGGAGGGGGTAGGGAGCATTGACTTAGGGGACATGCCCGATCTCCATCCTCAGCAGCAAGGGACAGCTTTCCCCAGCCTTTCTGAATTCCAGGCTTCTTCAAGCCTGGGCAATGGCCTTGGCCCGAGCCTAGGCATCTCTGTTAAGGCCCTCCACAGGTGTTGACCAGGACATGTCAGGCTGGGAGCCGGCTCCACTAGCTGGAAGCAGGCAGGAACTTCAATGCAAAAAGACATTGGGAGTAAATTCTAGAAAGCTCATGGTGCTGAGCTTGAAACCCTCTTTCTATTACACAGGGACAGTGACAAATGCTAGATGCTAGCGAGTCATTAAAGACGCGTTAGCCCCAGACCGAGACTTCTCCTTGATCTAATCAGGAGCCAGGAGCAGGAGGGGAAGGGCCCAGTCATCATTGCTGGCAGCCGGGTAGCTGTTTGGGGGTGTAACTACTTCAGTCAATGTGCTGGTCACCATCTGTCTCCCAATGGGTCCCCAAACCTATCCTGGGAGGACCCCCAGAGTCTCAGCAAGGACTTCCTTCCTCCCTCCCAAATCTCTTCTCACCCCAGGAGTGGTTTTGGTTTTAGAGAGAAAACTGAGTTCCAGTCCTACTGCTGATGCCCAGTTTTCCCATCTGTGAAATGGGCTCAGCGACTCCTGCTTTGTCTTCTGGTGCAAGGATGGTATGAGATGGTGGTGGCAAAACTGGGCATAGGGCTTGCCCCCCAGGAACCCATTGACTACCAAGGGATTCAAGACATAAAGTGGGCTGGGACCCCGATCTACTGTAGTCCTACTTGGGCTCCCAGCTTTAGCAAGGGCTGTGGGGCCATGGATCAGCCTAGTTAGTGTGCTAATATAACGGTCCACACCAAGAAACAGGCTCAGAGAGGGCAAGTGACCTGCTGGAGGCCACACTGCAATTCCTATTTCAATTTACTTGAGAGTATTCAGACCCTAGAATCTAACCAGGTCCCAAACGCTGAAGCCGGGGTGACTCCAGAGTTACCCCAGCTTGGCAGGAAGTTTGTCCACAGTACCCAAAACAATCCATCGGGCCGGCTAAGCCAAGATGTCAGAAAGCATTATCCACGAGGCTCAGTGGGGGGAGCTGCAGGATGCAGCAAGGAGAGGGACAGGAAGGAAGCAAGCAGGGAGGGGGAGGGGAGAGGACGAGGGACTCAGAGAGACAGAGACCAGAGATAGAGAGGGGAGGGGAAAGAGGGAAAGGGAGAGGAAAAGGGGGAGCAGAGGAAGACAACAGATAGACAGGAGTCTAGAGAGCCCAAGGACTGTGCTGGGGCTAGCTGGTGGAGGGGAGGGCTGGGGGCTCTGAGTACCTTGCTTGGTTCTCCTGTGGCTAACACTGATAGTGTGGCGTGAGTGCCCCCCCCCCCTGCCCACAGAGGTGGAGGCAGGTCCCCTGAGTGCTCAAGTTGGGGAGGCTAGGACAGAAGTCTCCAGTTTCCTATCAAGGAACACTTCTGGCCATCAAAGCCAAGGCCATGAATGGGCTGGAACATGGCAGGCACAGTAACAGGAAGGCTGGGGTGGGGGCCAGGGAAATGAGGATAGCTGTAAGTTGGACCCTTTCTGCTGACCCCTCAGGCATAGGGAAACCCCCTCCCCACCCTTCCTTCCTATGGAGTGGGAACAAGGCAGGAGAGTAAGGGCCACCAGGGCCTCAAGTGACAGCTACAAGCTGATAGATCATGATTGAGAACCCATGGCTGAGGTTCAAACAATAGAACCGTGCCCCACCTTCCCCTTTAGCTGCAGATCTTGGGCTTCACTTCTGGGGCCTCAGTTTCCATGTATGTAAAATGGGTTGAGTATTTCTGAGGGGCTTGGGACTTGTCACTGTCCTATGTGGTCACTGCCATGCTGTGAAGGGTATCACATGGGGCTCTGTGACCTTAGGGTACTACTACCTGCCTCTATCCCAGCTCATATGTGGGACGCTGGAAGATCTTCTCAGAACCCTGGACCAAGGGCAGGGGTCTGGCTCCACACAGAGACCAAGGCCCTGTAATCTGGTGTCCTGCTCAGCCCAGCATGTCCCATGGTATAGCACGGGAGAATACTTCGTTTTATAGTTTCCTGCTTCTGCTGTAGGATTGCCAAGCTTGTTCCACGGTGCCTGCTGCTTGTGAACTCCCTTTACAGGACAGTTTTGGGGACAGATCATGGCGTCCCAGGGCCTGATGTCCCTAGGTCTGACTGGTCTGTAGAGTGAGGTTTGGGGAACATGTGATGAGGGGCTGTGGCCAGAAGCGGCAGGCAGTGGCGGAGAAATGGAAGGCTTCGGGGGACAAGGAAAGGAAGAGAGTGGGGAGGGAGAGCTGTGGGAACAGAAAAACGCCGCTGAGGGAGAGGGAGTGACGCCGGAGAGGCACGGGGCGGAGTTGACAGGAGCGAAGTAGGGGAGTCGGAGAGATTGAGAGAGCGAAACTCTCCGCGGCGGTGGAAAGACAAACCGGCGCCCAGAAACAGAAGGGGGAAAGGAACAGGACGAGGAGAAAGAGAAAAGATAGCAAGCAAGCGTGAGCAAGACCTTCCAGGTGGTCAGGAACCAGGAAAGAGGCAAGAACTTCCGACCGCTGGGAGCGCCGGCGGCAGCGACCCCGGACCGCCAACCGAGAGGGGTGGGGCGGGGCTCAGGGGCGTGGCCCGGGGCGAAAGGGCGTGGGCCAGGGGTCTGGGCGGGGAGCTGGGCTGGGGGCGTGGCCTCCGCGGAGCCGCCCCCGGGCTGTGCGGCGCGCCAGAGTCGGGCCGGGGCGCCGGGGCCGGGGGCGGCAGGCGCGGGCAGGAAGCGCCTCGCGGCCCGGGCCCGCCCCCCGCCTCTCGCCTCTCGCCTCCTCCGAGCTCCCGGCTCCCGGCCGCGCCGCGCCCCATGCACTCGCCGCGCCGCGCAGCCCGCGCTCGCCTGGATGGCTCGTCGCGCCGCGGGCGGCGCACCCCCTAGCGCCCGGGCTGCCGCGGCCATCCCCTGGCCTCCGCGCCCGCACTCGCGGGGCCCCGGTCTGCCGCCGCTGCCTCTGCTGCTGCTGCTCGGGGCGGCGCGGGCCGGCGCCCTGGAGATTCAGCGCCGCTTCCCTTCTCCCACGCCCACCAACAACTTCGCCCTGGACGGCGCGGCGGGCACCGTGTACCTGGCGGCTGTGAACCGCCTGTACCAGCTGTCGAGCGCCAACCTGAGCCTAGAGGCCGAGGCGACCGTGGGCCCCGTGCAGGACAGCCCGCTGTGTCACGCCCCGCAGCTCCCTCAGGCCTCGTGCGAGCACCCGCGTCGCCTCACCGACAACTACAACAAAATCCTGCAGCTGGACCCGGGCCAGGGTCTGGTGGTCGCGTGCGGCTCCATCTACCAGGGTTTGTGCCAGCTGCGGCGCCGGGGCAACATCTCAGCCCTGGCCGTGCGCTTCCCGCCTGCCGCGCCGCCCGCCGAACCGGTCACCGTGTTCCCCAGTATGCTGAACGTGGCTGCCAACCACCCCAATGCATCCACCGTGGGGCTAGTCCTGCCGCCAGCCACGGGCACGGGGGGCAGCCGTCTGCTTGTAGGCGCCACGTACACCGGCTACGGCAGCGCCTTCTTCCCGCGCAACCGTAGCCTAGAAGACCATCGCTTCGAGAACACGCCCGAGATCGCCATCCGCTCCCTGGACGCGCGTGGAAACTTGGCCAAGCTCTTCACCTTCGACCTCAACCCGTCCGACGACAACATCTTGAAGATCAAGCAGGGCGCCAAGGAACACTACAAGCTGGGCTTCGTGAGCGCCTTTTTGCACCCGGCGTCTCCGCGCGGCTCGCAGCCCTACGCGTACCTGGCACTCAACAGCGAGGCGCGTGCCGGCGACAAGGACAGCCAGGCGCGCAGCCTGCTGGCGCGCATCTGCCTGCCCCGCGGTGCGGGCGGCGATGCCAAGAAGCTTACTGAGTCCTACATCCAGGTGGGCTTGCAGTGCGCGGGTAGCGCGGGCCGCGGCGACCTCTACAGCCGCCTCGTGTCTGTCTTCCCCGCGCGCGACCTGCTCTTTGCCGTCTTCGAGCGGCCCCAGGGCGCCCCAGGTGCCCGCAACGCCCCGGCTGCGCTCTGCGCCTTCCGCTTCGCCGACGTGCAGGCCGCCATCCGTGCAGCGCGCACTGCCTGCTTCGTGGAGCCGGCGCCCGACGTGGTGGCAGTACTGGACAGCGTGGTGCAGGGCACCGGGCCGTCCTGCGAGAACAGACGTAACATACAGGTACACCGGGGTTCTGGGGAGCCAGTATAGGGATCCGTTGTGTACGCAGGGATGTGGATATCCCGGAGGATTGGTTGCTGGCAGCGGTGCTGGCCGGGGAGCGAGCTGGGTCACAGGTGCGCACACCTCAGCGGGGGCGAGGTCTGCGTTGTCAAGGTACCCAGGTGTTCCCGGAAGACAGAGCACCTATAGCTCAGGTCTGCAGGTGGGGGCCACAGGTGCATGCTGAGCTGAGAGAGGGAGTGACACCAAGAGTGTGCTTGGGAGACTGTGGGTGCCCTTAGACTGCGGGTACCACTGCACCCTGACACATGTGTGAATGGGTGAAGATGAGGGGAGGGTGGGATGGAAGGGCTAAGCGTGTGGCAGGGGCACCCACTGGAGGCCCCAAGAGCCTGGACATGCAGGGATATAGACTCCCGGTGGGAACATGTGTCAGGACAAGTGACTGCTTCCCTGGAGAGGTCACCTGGTTAGCAAACAGGTGCGTGCTCAAGGCTCACTTTCACTCACTCAGGAAATAGCAGCCAAGCACCAGGTAGGTGGCATGGCAGACCTGGGGTGACCCCCAATGTTGGGAACTTTTAACTTAGTGTGTCGACTGTCCTGTCTTCAACAAATGTCTGTTTTTAATTCCGTTGTACATACAGAAGAAGAAGCAGGTGCAAGGGTTTGAAGGGTCACTCAGAGCCACACAGCCAGGAGCTAGCAGAGCAGGCCTTGAACTCAAGCTGTGTGCCTACCCCCCACCCCGGCCTGTGCCCATGGTGCTGGGGTATACTGCCTAACAGATGAATGAGAGCATCCAGGCAGCCCAGTTGCACAGATGGGGCCACCGAAGATGGAAAGAGCCTTTGGCGGGGAATCTTTGTTGGAACAGAGAAACTACAAGACAAGGATGAAGTGGGGCCTGGGGGTGGGCAGCGGCAAGAGGGCCAGGTTAGGGGTTGCCAGGTGGGGTGGCCTTGGGTGCAGCCAGCCAGTCCACTTAAAGGATTTCTCAGCAGAACCCCTTTCTATTGTCTTCAGAAGGTAGGCTTGTGGGGGTCCTCATTTTCCACCCCAAAATGACACTGACTTTGCAGAGGGTCAGGAAGCAGAGCCTTCTTTATTCACTGAGACTTCTCTCTCTCTCTCTCTCAATCTCTCTCTCTCTCTCTCTCTCTCTGTCTGTCTCTCTCTCTCTCTGGCCCTCAGTGGTAGCCAGTCTCTCTCCCGTGGGCGTGCCCAACACTGGGGCTTTGAGCAAGCCTAGATTCCTTTCCTTGGCAAAGACTCCCACAGCCGCCTACCACCCTGCCGGTTGGTCGTCTCCTCACAGGGAAGGTCAGCGAGGGGGAGAGGCAAATGGACTGTCTGAAGCTTACAACCCTGACACCCGGCAGGGTCAGGCCCCTGCGCAGGGCTGGGGTGAGAGCAGTCACCATTCTTTATGGAGCCACAGCCTTTCCGTGGCTGTGACTGGCTAGGAAGGGGGAAGCTCTGTGGGCAGGGGAGGCAGCCTTCTGTGGGCCCCTAGCTGATGAAGGGTTCTGTGGGATTCCTCAGGCTGCCTCTCCCCTCCCCCTCCAGTAAGATCTGCCCTGATTCCCACGGTCCCTGGTGCCCCCTGGGCCGGCACAGTGACTCACCAGGCTGAAGGCAGTTGGATTGTCCTCCTGCCTATGGGGGCAGGGCTTTTACAGGGAAGTTAGCCCCAGGGCACTGTAGTTTAGGCCTGCTCCTCACCTCAAGGCCACACAGTAACCCTGCTGGGGCCCTTCTAAGTTTGTTTGCTGCCTTCTCCCTACCCAGTGCCCAGCTGTGGACTCAGGCTAGGGTCCCAGGCAGGACCCCCAGATAGTCCCTACCCCCACCCTGCGTCTAGACCTACGGCAGTGCTGTTGTCCTTGTCAAGCCGTTGCCAGCTCCCCTGCTTAAAGTCCATCTGTCACAGCCTGGCTGTGACCTTGTTCAGGCAACAGTCTTGCTAAGCCTCAGTTTCCTTCTCCCTAGCGTTAAGGTACTGCACACAGAAGCCCTACCGGGTGGGGAAGGGGTCTTAGGACCATGCACACAGTCTTCCTACCAGGGCCTTAGGACTATGCACACAGTCTCCACAGAGGCATTAGAAGCAAATGAGCAAGTTAACCACAAAGTCAAGTGCTTGGTGCCTGATGCACAACAATGCTGTGCTGTTCTCACCCCTGGGATACAGTTAGCTCTTGGCTAGGTTCTAGGCTCTTCTGGAAAACAGTGTCCTTATCAGGCATGCTCTGGAACTGTAAGACCCCACTATCTGCACCTGCAGCCCCAGGTGGGTCCCCTGAACATTTACCAAACCCCCAGTGTTTTGAGACCTCTGCTTTCTGGGGACCCTCATGTTATTTTCCTGGTTTCTGGCCTCCTGGACGACACGGGGACTAAGGATGGGCTGGGTCTCATGTAGCCGAGGCCAGGTTTAGGCTCACTGTGTAGCTCAGTTTTAGGTTGAGTGATGGGTTTACAGGCATGTGTGGACGTGCCCTTGTGTCAAACCTAGGGTCTAGGGGCATGCTAGGTAAGTACTGTCGCAGTTGAGCTACATCCTGGTCCCGAATGGGGTCCTCTGAAGCGGCCTAGGGTCGCTGTGGGGAGTTGATGAGATGCACACACTGCTTGCCCATTGCCATGCTCAGGAGTTGGCAGTGGTGTGATCCAGAAAGCCCACGATGGCCAGCAAGGAGGGACCCAGCTGGGTGAGATGTTCTCTGAACCCCTACCCTGTGCTGGGCCGGGCCTGTATTCTCTCTGCTGTGGCCACAGGACAGGTAGGACTGTTGCCTCGGGAGTGGGCAGCTGGGGCCCTCAAAGCCTGTCCTGTCCAGTGGTAGGTGGAAGACAAGATGGTAGTTAGGTAGGATTCTCACCCTCACACCACAGTGTGTTTGAGGGAAGAGCATGTTGGGCAGTTGTATGTTATTGGTGGTAATACTGAGGCACAGGGAATGGCAAGGTGGGGCTGGCTGGATGTCACTCCTTTCTCTGAATCTTTCGCTTCTAAATGGCCATGGCGTGTGTCCTTAAGTTGCGGGACAGCACAGCAAATGCCAGGCCTGCTTTTTCATGGTGTCTTTTTATAGTAATGGCAGAAAAAAAAAACCTCCCTGGGCGTTTTTAAAGCAGGCGTGTGGTGGGTGGCACACGGCTCAGGAAGGTATTTTCTACACCAATTTCAGGGCTGAGATGGCAGGTGGTGGCGGAGGGAGAGAGCTTCCAAGACAGGCTTTAGGTTTGGGAGGGGTTTGAAGTCGGCACCTTGTGTTAAGGAGGCAAGCAGAGACCCCTGTGGGATTTAGGGGAAGGCCTGGCCAGGACGACCTTCCTGGAAAGACAGGTGAGCTTGGGCCACAGCTCCCCCCCCAGTATCTGCCCCCCCCCCCCCCGGGGAAAAAGCTGACAGGGTTTCTGTTCTGCAGCTCAGGGCCAGTCAGTCACCCTCCCTGTGCTCCACGGTTTCTCCTTTTTGAGGAAAGTCTTGTCTCTTGTCAAAGATGTGGGTCAGAATCTCTCATATGCTGCACCCAGGAAACGGCAGGTGCAGGTGCTGCGGGAAGAAAGTCGTCTGAGCACAGCATGCTGGTGTGTGGAGCAGACAGCAGGTGCTCAGAGGAGAGTGGGCTGGGCCCTTGCAGCTGATGAGCTCACACCAGGCTCTGAGGGAGCCGGCCTGAGGCCGAGAAGTGTGGTGAGCGTGTAAGCAGGCCCTGTCCCAGTGGAGCAGGCCGACTGAAAGCCAGCCAGGTCAGTGCCTGCTGCGCATCAACTGAGGGAGCTGCCAGCCTTGCTTGTTTGTTTGGGGGCGGTGTTTGGGTGTGCTTGTCACCACCTGCCTAGTTCTCACTGACAACAGTCCTCAGACAGTGAGGTTTACAGAGGGGGAAACTGGGACCCAGAGAGGGCAAGGGACTTGCCCTGGGTCTTACAGTACTCTATGGTTCCAGATCCCCAGACTGCTGGCTGGCTTCGGACTCCCTGTGACCAGCCTTTGCTGAGGGATGCCAGGCCAGCTGAGTGCTCTGAGCTCAGGGTGCCTGAGTTCCCCCTTAGCTGGAATTAGGTCATTTGGGCAAGTCCCTGGGGGAGGCTGGGCACCACAGTTCCTGGGAAATACATAGGTGGGGTGAAGCCATGGAGCATGTGCAGAGAGAGGGCTGAATGCTGGAGCCACTTGAGCGAGCACAGAGGGGCCTGAAAGCATCTGGCCACACTTGACCCTGAAAATGCAGCATCTTACCCAGGTGTGGTGTTGTATATCAGCCTCCCAGCGCTTGGGGGGCTGAAACAGGAGGATTGTGAGTTAGAGGCCAGCCTGAACTGCATAGTCAGACCTAAAAACAAAACCAAAACAAAAAGCGAAGCAAAGTCTCTTCTCATGAGGGCCCTAGCCCCTGGGAGTATGTAAATGTTTATCTGCGCAGAAGAATGCAGATCAGACAGATTCCTTTTATTCTTGCCAGTGGGGTCCTGAGTCACTTGTGTTGGGGGACAGACTGGAGGTGTGGATGGATGCCATGGCCCAGGCCACAGCCACAGCAGAGGCCTTCTCTACTTAGCTGGCTAGGTAGCCTTGCTCCTGTAGTTTAGGGAACTAGTGTGTGGTTCGAGTTCTGGTGGCTTCTGTGGGGTTTGGGCTGGACCACAAATGGACAGTTCTTCATTCAGCCACCAAAAATGCAAATGTCCCTTTGTAATTTGTGAAGTTTCTTGAAAGTTTGTTCTGGGCCAGGCATTTGCAAAGTACCTTGCCATCCAAACCCCCCCCCCCCCAATCCAATAAAATGGCTTTATCTTCATCTATAGAGATACATGAACTTGTAAAAGCCACAGGTCAATGTCCTGTGTCTTCCTCTGTCCCTCTCCACCTTAGTTTTAAGGTCTTCCGTTGGAGCCTTTTTGGCTGGACTGGCTGATTAGTGAACTCCATGGAATGCTCCTTCCCCCACTGCCCAGTGCTGGGATTGTGGGTGGGAGCAGCCAGC